AAACTCTTTGAAGTGACGCAAATTTGGGTGTGATTGGAGAGTAGCTTCAATAAGAGCATCACTTGTAACTTTGGCATCAGAAGCGTGTAAAGAAGTGATAACAATTATTGGCTAAAATGGGAGGTAATCTTCTCCATACTCAATTGTTGCTGACCAGTGCTTGATTTGTTCCTCTGGTTGTACTGTGAGGATGGGTGTGTCTGTAACTGAGGGTAAATGGTCCTTGTTAGATGACATGTTGTTGGTATGCTTTGTGTTAATTTGGCTACCACCTGAGACTGTGTAGATTGTTTGTTCTGTATCAGGATTTGTCTGACAGTTGATGTTGACTTCATACTGGTGACGTGACAAAGCATCTGCATTACCATGGGACTTGCCACTCTTGTGAATGATATCAAAATTGTAGGTTGACAGTTCAAGTGACCATCTAACTAATCTGCCTGTAGCATTTTTGATTGATTTTATCCATTTCAATGCTAGATGATTCGTGAACACAGTAAATTTTAAATTAGCAAGATAAGGTCTGAATGTTCTATTAGCCTTAAGTAATGCTTAACCTTCTTTTTCTGGAATACTTTTTCTGTTCTGTTTCTGTTCTTTTCATTTCCCTGTAGAGCTCTGCCATCATATGCTATTGTAGGGTGGGCGATTTAACTGTACAGCCCAGACTTAGCCCCCAGTGACTATTTCCTGTTCCGGCAAATAAAATCTGCCCTACGTGGAAGACGCTTCCAGGATGATGAGGACATAAAGGCTGCCTAAGGGGCGTGGTTAGAGTGCCAATCTGTGGATTTCTATAAAAGTGGTATTAAAAGCTTGAAGGACAAATGGAATAAGTGTATTGAGGTGAATGGAGATTATATTGAAAAATGAAAGTGCAAAAGATATTCTGCGATTTGGTCTTATATTGAAGTTGCAAAACTTATTGAACGCCCCTCGTAGCTGTATTCATTACGTCCACATAAAGGTTTTCTGCTATGTCCTTATATTCTTCATTAGCGAATTCTCCACCATTGTCTGCTAGAAACTTCTTGGGTGTGCCTAATCTGCTCCCGACCCATAATCACAAAATTTGATCGATGACAACCTCTGGAGTTTTCTTCTTTATGATGGCAGCCAGACTAAATTGTGGCCATGTCTAGGAGGTGGACGAAGTAAACACCAGTCTTCCAAACTTTCAGATCCATTGCCACCATTTTGTTTAACTTTGTAGCAAGAGGGAGAGAAACAACTGATCTAGCTGGTGTCCTCTTGAATTTAAGACAAACACCATATTCCTGTGTTATGTCATCAACCAGTGCCTGATAAGTATCATACTTGATCCCAGCATCTTCCAAGCAGCATCAAGAGTCGTCTACTTGATGGATGCCCAAACTGTCTCTGCAATTTCAATATCTTTTTGTTTTTTTGTTGCTTTGACTGCTTACTGTGGGAATACAGGACGTTGAAGATTTGAGTCACTGGCATCATGGAATGTGATACAGTAGGGCCCTGAAAAATGTACACTGCAGATTGATTTCCTTCCCAAACATTAGAGCCCGATCATTTTCTAAATAGCTGGTTTTCAAGTAGAAGAGGAACATCACTTTGTACCACATCAGTTGTTATCGTACAGGTGTCACCACATATTTCTCATGGAAAAGTTATTTTTTTCTATAGATTTAAGAATTCTTCCTCCCCCAAATTTGAAGATGGAGATCACTTTTGTTTCTGTTCACTTCTCTTACTTTGCCATCATCAAGTGTATCTATATAGCATTTCACCTGCAACTGTAGAATTGCATGCACTGTCCCAGACTGCAGAGTTTAAGGATTCATTAACTAGAACCTGTAACTCCTCACCTTTATGGCCAGTAAACAACACAAATTTTTCTTGGAACTTGCTTTTTTCCATACTTTCAAATGAGTCCAGGCAGTCTTTGATGAAGTGATAAACTGACTCCCAAACCTTGCATCGAAGAGGACGTCCATAATGTCCAAACAGATTCTGTACTCACTGATTGTCATATGGTTCACTTCAGTGTCCATACTTTTTTTGTTGCTTGTGATGATGTGATATCTGCTAGAATGGTTGTCGTTTCCTCTGCCAAAGAAACCATGTCTACCCCTTCTATTTCAAGTAAAATTAGCAGTTTCCTCTTCCTCAGCATTGGTCGTGTTTGTTGCCACATATGTTGGTTCTGTCTTTATCTTAATACCATCGGGGCGGTCGGGTAGCCTAGTGGTTAAAGCGTTCGCTCGTCACGCCGAAGACCCGGGTTCGATTCCCGACATGGGTACAATGTGTGAAGCCCATTTCTGGTGTCCCCCGCCGCGATATTGCTGGAATATTGCTAAAAGCGGCGTAAAACCATACTCACTCACTCACTTAATACCATCATTCCCCTCAGATGGCGGAATTGCTTGCTTTCCAAAGATTTTCTTTAAGGACATGGTTGTCTGTTTAAACAAATTGTTGTGTGATATTTGTGGTTGACATGAGTGAGAACAAATGGTCTGTCTATTCAAGACAAGCATTTTCAAGTAATTTGAAAGCATGCATAGATTCTGGAAAGGTCATGTTAAATTTCTTTGTTTTAATGTATCAGTAACAAAAATGTCCATAGACTGATCTCTCGATCACTTGTACCTGTCAGACTCTGTGTAAACATCATATGCTTCTTAAAGTTCATCTTTCTTATAAATACCATCCATAAAAGTTATCAGTGTGTTGACCCCTTCCTTTTTGTTATCCCCCAGCATATAATGTGGGGAGATATAGTTGACGCCTCGTGTCTGTCTGTCTGTAATCATTTCGTTTCCGGAGGATAACTCTAAAAACGTTCAATATTTTTCAACAAAACTTTGCAGATATAACAAACAGATCCTGAAGTGGTGCCTTTTGTTATTTTGGGATTTGGGGCATTTTTATTTTCTTGGTTTAAATGGAAACAATTTGGCTTTAATCTCAATCGGGAAGGGTAGGTGTCTTTTCCGGACCACAACTTGAAAACCGTAAAAGGCATTTTATCCAAACCTGGTACATGTATTAACCAAGAGCTGAAGAGGTGCCTTTTGCTATTTAGGAATCTAATTAAAAAATAATTTTGTACCTGTTTCCATGGCAACAAGTTTGAGTATGGCTTTGTTCATAGAGTGCATGTGTTTGTCGGGACCATATATCTAGAACTCATAGGTATCCTTTCATGACACTTTGCACACACAAAGACCATGTTGTCAAATGGTGCTTTTTGCTACTTAGGGATTTTTAGAACTGATATTTTTTGTTTTTCCATAGAAACAATTTTGATTTTGACTCTGTTCATCATGGTGTGTACCTTACATAGAAATACAAAGTTATGAATCCCAATTCTGTGTTATTGTTTTGATAGCTCAATAACTACTCTTGTATACGGACAGATAGATTAGATAGAAATTCTCTCATCTAGTTGGACTTAAAGTAAAAGTCAGATGATTTGTTCTTTCAAATTTGTCGGGGCCAGGGGGGATTTGTCATCTGGTGATGACTCTTGTTCAACATTCCAACACCAATTCTTTGAATACTTTGTCACGTATCAAAATAACCTCTCATTTTCTGGTTATGATAATTCTATGGCTGGCCCTTGTTTATTTTCAGGCAAGACTGTCACTGTCTGTCACACTCTGACCTCTTCAACCCACCGTATGTTTTAGATTTCGTAAACACATCGTACTCTGTAATTACCTGATGTCATTTTTCTTGTTTCTTTACTCACAGCGGCACTGACATTCCACAGGCTTATCTGCTCACACTCTCACGCAACCATGCTCTGCTGCCATGAAAACTCTGAACTTCTTGTCTACCCATATACGTCACCTTATCCTGACTACCGCTTTCTTGCCGACTTCTACGGTTATACACCTCCCGGGGATTAGTCCATGGATCTCTGTCAACATGACGATCACCTTCAACCCTCTACTTCATGTCGAGGCTCATCTTCCGGCTCATGTTCAGATCAGCATTCTCTCAGTAGATCCTTGTTGCAGTCTCCTTCTGCAGACATAGGGTCGCTCCTGCAGGCCATGACTTCTGCCCTACAGCACCATTCTAGTCTGCTGATAGTGCCTCCTCTTTAAACAGGTTAGGTATCCATGCCTGACCGTCTACCTGCAGGATAAATGTGAGATATAGGATAAGTTTAAAAATATGTAAATTCTTCAAAAAATTGTATATTTATATGCTTATCCTATCTCACACATTATGTGCCATCCCGACCATAGCCACAGCACAGCTCCTCTGGCCTGTCAGCTCTAAGGAAGAGAATGATGTGGCAGGGATAGTCATGTGATCATATCTTGTAGGTCCCTATACACAGGGTTATATGCCTGTGACCCATTTGTTTGGATGGTGACCATGGTTATACTGGGATTTGTTCGTGTGAATTGTGTTTTAGAAGCTTGAAACTTTGTTCAAGCCATATCACAGAAAGCTCAAAAGAAGAAGGAAGAAATGCATAGTATTAAATAGGATAATTATATAAATATATAGTTTATTGTAAAGTTTACAAGATTGACTCTGGAACTTGGTGAGAATCTGGGTCATTTCAACTTTATTTTCAGAACATAGTCAACTTTATTCAAAGAGAACAGATACAAATCATGTTTATGTAAGGAAATAGTTATTGGAACAGTTATTTAGGATGAAATGCAGAGTTATATTGTCAAATGCTGGGCTGGCTATCTGACGCCGGTTGACATCGCCAGTGGAAGCTGAAAGTGAAACAACTGGAAAAAAATGTGATATCTTTGACTCCGTGTATAAGACAACCCCCCTTCTTAACCCCCTCATTCTATGTACGATAAACTCACTTTATACACAGTGATATACGGTAATATGATAATATCAGTTTGCATACAAATAGTCATCCCTGCAAGTAATGACAAGTAGACATATTATTGTCCAGTAGCCCAATAGGTGCAAATGTCTTTATATAATAATATTTGTAGTCAAATGTTTTCCCCTTACTCATGTTTCTCTTCCAGAAGCACAACATGCATTCATGAACTGTCTGTTAAAGAATGGCATTCAAACCCAGATGATAGTACTGAATATAAACAGAGAGGAACAGTCATTGGAAATCACTTCTCATACAGATGAACAAGGTAAGTTTATTGTGTATACAAAAGCTTCCATTATTATCTCAACTAAATGAAAAGTTCTTGTCTCTTTCTAACTTGTCTACTTATGCATGAAGTGCTTATGTTTGTAAAAGGTACGCCTAACAGCAGAGTTTGGGGTATCATTTTGACCCTAATGCTGACTTGTGGCCCTTTGCATTGTATTTTATTTGGTATTGTGTGATTTAAGACTTGAATCAGCCAGCTGAAACACCCCTGTGAGAGCCTATGGTTTGGTTCATGCATTAGACATCGGATGAATGACATACATGTGATACCTCCTGATCTATCCGGGAGCCTCTCCGATTAGCATCCTTGATCACGGTCACCCGCCAGGGGGCCCATTTGACCCAGATGGGCCTTTTTCTAGTAATCAACTGGTAATTAAATGCATATGGTGACCAATTTAATTAATGTAATAATGAAAAAGAAAACTTGGATAGTTGTAACAACTAGGTGCCTGAAGGGCATTTGAAATAAGTAACCAGCCGAGTACTTATCACTTCTTCTCAGCATGTTTTTTCCTGCATAATTTAATACAAATCTCGATACATATGACTGGCCCAGTTATACATGACTTAATAGGTTATCAGAATTTTCTGAAAATATGCTTTAATGTCAATATACCTCAAAGTTACGCCATTAGACTCTTTGAAAAAAAACAAAGTATGACCAGCAAGCGCAGTCTTGTCTGCACAGAAATATCAACACATCGAACTTTGTCAAATTTCACAAGAATGTATCATGTAGGGCTGGCTATCGATACAGATCATAGAGATCAATAACCGTTAACTAATTATCGATCAATTATTGATGAGTATCGAAGATGTATCTTTGAGCTAATACGCAAATTAAAATCCTAAAGAAATCAACATATTTCACTCCACTGGTGAGTGGTGGCACATTTATTCATGGATTACTTAGTGGACATTTGAGATATAACAAATACAGTTACTTTCTATCTTCAACAATTAGCATTATTGACAATAATAAGTCTGTTTTGGTAAATCTAAACTTCATTTCATCACAATAGTTTATGTAAGGCATTATCGATGACACAATTTTCATATCGATAATCGTTAATATTTCTTCCCATCGATGATAATTCTGATTATCAATCATTCTTGCCAGCCCTAATATCATGTGATTATTTTTGAATGGCTAATGCTTAGCTAGCATCCTAGATCGGCAGTCTGATTTGCATACAACGGTATTAGTCAACCTATGAGATTAATACATGTCTAGGTCAGAAAGGTTGAGGCACAAGGCACTTTCTTTCCCAAATCATAGAAAAACGTAATGGCACTTCCAAATATGGTATACACTTCTTGGAAATTGAATGACTCAAACACTTCTAGGAAATTAATGAAGTGAAAAAGTCAGACTATGTAAAATAGATTATCACAGACAGAAAAAAACACTTTGTTTTCTTTAAATTAGGGGCAATGATGTTTCGTCAGATAAACACACTTGATACTTCTTAGGCATATTTTCACCAATATCTCACCAAGACTGCATCTACCTGGAAGATTGGTCATATTGAACACGTCGCCAAATGGTCAAGCTACCGATCATTCGTTTTTTTCAATATGTTTGCGTTTATCCGAAATGACCTTTTACCAAAAGTGATAAGGGTAGATTGTCTTTTTATTATTATTGCCCTATGTATCTTTCAAGGTCGAAACATGCATGGGTCAATAAACATACTTTGTGTGTACAGCTACATATTCCTGTAGGTCAGTCAAGTTATTCTTTAAATTTACTGACATTATTAACTGACAAATTTTAAATCGAAAAACAGTAATTATTATCCTTTTTAGAAAAAAAAAGAAATTTAATTTAATTGTTATTCTCTCAAATTTTTTGTGTGTTCCATAAATGAAGGCCCAGAAAGCATGCTAACTGAGTATGGCTCAGGAAAACTGAACTTTGTGGTACTAAGCCATTGTAAATTGACAGATTGTGATGACTGTTTAACATTTTAATTTAATTGTTGCTATTTTATCATTCTCCATGTTAGGAGCAAATATCTTCCTGATATCGAAGGCTTTATGTCCCTGACACCCACTGACAATTTGTCACATGTATGGAATGATGACAGACTTGTGGAAAATACGATAAAATTAAGCTTTAAAAAATGAAAGTATTTTGTTCTCAGGTAATGGCTATTGGAAAATATTGTGCGGGTGGGCCTCTTTTTTCTTTTTGTGTTGTTGTTCAAACTAGTTTGTAACCATGCAAATAAACAGCTGCATACCTGGAAATACAGTTGCGTACCTGGCAATTGGCCTCACTACATAAATGTATTCCTAGAGGAGTAAAATACAGTAATTGAATACCGTGGACTACCAGTGCAAAATACACCCATACAATGGGCTTTGATTTTATTTCACGAGAAAATGTTATTGTGAGCACACAACATCGGAAGAAGCATCATGCAGTGTGCGAGCTCAGCCTATGTTACTGCTTATAGATGAAAACCAAGCCTCGCTTTCACACAGGTTATAAATAGATTCAATGCTTAAGGTCCCATTGTGACGTCACAGCCCCTGTCACAGCAAGTGAAAAATCCTGGGCTCTACACCTACCTCATATAAACCTTTTATTACAAATCCTATATGAACATGTTATGTTTTCATATATTTCCCATTTCAACATATGTCAATTTATCAAAATAATACCAAAATATAACCCTTCCATGCACTGTAGAGGCTGTGAGAACATGTTGATTAAAGTCACGTGACCTCAAAATATTCTCTCACAGGGTAGAAGTCATTCACAAAAATATGGGTTCCATCTATCTTAAGGGGAGGAAGGGCCAATTCCTATGCAATCACTGATCAATAAGCTTCCCATATCCAACTTAAAATAGGAGGAGCTACAACTGTAAACATGTTTTTAATTGGATAAAAGACAGTCCCCAGTTTCCCCCTCGAAGTGACCAAGAAGTCCCACACAGAGCGGCCAGAAACATAAATAAATCTGGCACCTTACTGATAGCATCACATTCTAGTGATAGATATGTTACTTTAGGGCAGTTTAACACCGTTTGCTTTAATTTGTATTGACTGATATGTCATTGAGGGTCTAGACCCCTGTGTGTCAGGGGTCTAAACTGATGGTTTACAGGTTGTGGTGTTTGACATTTGGTTCTTTCTGTCTTAAGCTGTCAGGACATAGTTTGTCAGTGTAATCCTACTGAAAAGACATTTGTGCTTAAATAGAACTTAAATCTCAAATATGTATTGGTTTGTTAGTTTTAATTAGGAATAGTAACCCTTCACAGTGCCGGAAATAGTCAAGATTTTAGTCACGAAGACCTCTATCAGTAAAATGATTGGCTCAAACCTATCATCCGCTGTAGCAGTATACTACTGTTACTGTTGTGGTTGACGATTACTTTTGGATTATACCTTGGCTGTTGCATTCTTATGCTAAATCATGGTTAAATTGTGTGTTTCAACTGTTATTTTCTTGGCACTCACTTGGAATACCAGTCTCTTACTAACTATTTATCATGATGCAACTTCCAACTGACACCACTGGAGATTTGTCAAGAAAGGTATGAACATATTGGAATTCTGACACCTCTAAAACTAATGAAATTTTCAAGTGGAAAATATCAAGAGTACATTTGTACCAATAAGGCTTGTGTATGCATTGATATTATGTAGAATAAAAACCGCTCGTAGAATTTTGCATCTTGTGAATGTATGTGCATTTATGCCATCCAAAAAGTCAGAAAGAAAATAGAAACAAAAGGTAGAATGATGGTATTCCTCCTGAGAGAAAATGTAAGACATCGTATCATTATGGCTGCCCATGCAGTCCCTGTCAGGTATGCATAAGGTTGGGAAAAGATTTTCAAAGATGGTCCTCATCATGAAATGAATAAACCTTATAATCCAGGTGAAAAGCATTAGTATTCAGTGAATATATTTCGTAACATGGAAAACTAATAAAAGTACAAAAACACAGTTGTTTTATTAGAAACCTCTGTTTATCCAGTTGACAGAGACTAGAGAGTGAATAGGTCATCTGCAAGCAAATTGTGTTTACTGTTTGTAGCTCTTGAGAACGAGGCTTGGTTTTTACGGGAAAAGATATCAATTACAAAAATGAGGCTAAGCTCGCACACTGCATGTCAACAAATCCATACTGAAGTATGCAAGTTAGTCCTGTTATTACACCATCTAGCTGCAAAAATCTCATAAACTAAATCACCCATAGATAGGAGAGAATATGTGTGAACAATTGATGGCTATTTCCCGGCTTATTTCATGAGACAAATACATAGGTAACCTTAATCTCTGTGTATGAAACATTGTCCGGCATACAGTACACAATTTGTAAATCATCATGTCTAGTGATGTTTTATCGTAAATTTCATGTTTTCATTGACCAAATTTGCAGACAAGCACACAAACACCTATTGCCGCAATGACCATAACAGGAGATGGTTAGTAAAGCATGTAAGGGGAGGCAACTGCACTCTAAAATATTGTAGCATTTCCCAGCCAGGGTCCTGTGTTCGAGATGTAGAATTTTTAAGGATTTTTATTTTTTAAATGGGAATAAAAACAGAACGTTAAGCGGACTTTATGATGATGCGGGCGATGCCTGGGGACCAAGACTTTTATTTTTTTAGCCTTAATAAACAAACCATGTAAAATGTTTACAAATTCCAACAATCATCATGAAGAAATCACCTTTTCTCAACTTCCTGTCAACTGTAACCTATCCCTAAACCTTCTTATTTCTATTCCTGCTCCTTCTCCCCCAAGTAAACTTTAAACAAATTATATTAATGAAAACCCTACATATATATATTCCCTTCTTTCTACATCCTAATCTCTCCCAACATAATTAACTACATAATAAAATATTTTAAAACTACCGGTAAATAAGAGAGGGACGTCTTGTTGGTCAAAAGTCTGTAAAATACTCTGCACTAGTAGAGTGGACTTGCATGTTGGGAAATCCAA